GTAAGGTTTTGCTTTGGTTTGAACCATAAACTTTGGGGAACACCGTGATAAAGCTGTCAGCCTTGGTTCTGCTTCTCTGCTCTATTTTTCCAATATATTAAATTCTCAGTTTGGGTGTTGGCTTTAGTTTTTCTTCAGTCATAAGTTCAGTCAAGAGGTCATTTCAAAAAAATATATATCCTGGTGGCGTGTTATTTGACACTTTTATTGTTGAGAGCCCTGGTTGAAGCCATTCTATGTATAATTAACCCAGCAGGGCAACTTGGGTTTCATTTTTGCACTTCCAAATTCTTCAGATTCCAACTCCAGAATGTTAATAGATGACTGAGATTATGCCTACCCAAATAGCCTTTTGTTTGATTGAGGCAGGGGTTTTTCAGACTGCATCCCTGGGGTTTCTGGGAATCATATCGGGGATTCTGCTCAGTGAGGAGATCAGTAATAAAGATGTACCTCTTTCCTGAGCCTTTGACACCTGAAGTGTGTGTGTGTGTGTGTGTGTGTGTGTGTGTTAGGACCCATCCTATTCTCTTGACTGTAATTTGTTTAAATCGTAGCAATCCACAATTTAACCCAGAATAGAAGAGTAGGTAAGAAATTATTATTATTATTATTATTATTATTATTATTATTATATTTACCCAGTGTCCTGAAAAAAACAGGACACCCCATTTTCTCACATGAGAGCACCACAGCCAATTTGGGTGCCATGATCTCATGCAATTTTGCACCCAGATCTCACCCAGAAAAAAGTACTTTCCCCTGAAAAATACCCTTTATTCAGGGCTACGATCTTGCACGGTGCCCCAAAAATGTATGTTTGGGGGCACAGTGTGAGCATCGCCCCAGAAAAAGTGCAATTTTGGGGCTCCATCATCTCAACGCAGGTCATGTGACTTGTGTGGGAACACAGACCAGAAGATGCACATCCCAGTTTTGGGACTCAAGATGTTGGGGAGGGTATGTTGTTGCTGTTGATTATGTTGTTGCTGTTCCTTTCCACTAGCAATCGTCTTCTGTACTGCTGCTCCAACTTCAGTCTGCCCCCAGCCGGCTGCCACCTAGCTGCCTTCTTATTTACATCCATTCTAGGGGGTGGTACAGGCTGTCAGCATCCTTACTCTCAATGTTGCCCTTGTAGAACTCAGCAGGGAAGAGGATGGTGGTGATGGAACTAGAATTAGGTGGCTCTCCTATTGGCCTCTGCGACTTCCACCCTAGCAGTTTCAATAGCCACCAGTCTCCACTGTGATGCACAACTGCAATGGAGTGCTTAGTGTTTTCTGGAGCATATTCATAGTGTGTTCAAGGTGTTATGGAGGCTGAACATGACTGGCTACTTTCCTAGGTGTACTGAGTGTATAACCTATTAGACCATGTCTCAGAAACTTGTGCAACACACTAGACTTCCATTGCTGACATGCAGCAGTTCCTTGACAGTAGGGACGGAGGAAATCCCCTCCCCCAGTTTTCATTTTCATGCAAACCTATCAAATTGATGCTTCTCTAATAAATGCAAAGACTAAGTTTCAGACTTTTCACTTCAGATTTTGCAGTGCAGTCCCTCCAACTACAACACTGGGCACATTAGAGTGCTATTTCCTCAGTTGTGTGGAGCCCCACGTATAATAGCACTACCAACTGATGGTTGAAACATGATGGTTCAGCAGAGCTGAAACACTTCAGTGTGGTTAGATGGCAGCATAGGAACAACTCTAAAATGGGTCAACGAGAACAAAATGCATTTCACACTTTTGTGTGTATTTGGCAGTTCCTTCCATGTACAGGAGGAGGAGAATGAGACACGGCATTAGCCACTGAACTCAACGTCCAGAAAATCCTGGTTTTCATTTTTGTTTAATAAAGTTTGTAGTCCTCATGGCTGTGATGATATGCTTGGAAATGCACATACAGTGCCTAAGCCCCTGGAAAGATGCTGCCAGTCAGATGAGATGGTCTATTGCTTCAGCTCAGGATAGGGCAGCAGTTTGTGTCATATGCCCAGTATCCCAACACAGAATTTTTTCAAGTACATTGTTTCTTTGCACCAAAAAGACTGTCAGTGGAGAAACTACTGCGTGAATGGGAGCTGCAACCAACGCTGTGTTTGAAGACACAGAGCTTTTCATCTTTGAAGTTTAAGACTAGCAGTAAATTCCTGAAAGTCAGTCCTATTTCCTTTTATATTAGCATGTTAACAAGCTTTGAAAGACAAGACAGACCTTACAGGACGACACAGCTGGGTGCTCCTCTAGTCTGGGGCTCTAATGAAAGCCAGAACCTGCATGAGGGTTGGGTCTGCGGCTTGTCTGCTGTTTACGGGCTCGGCAGGGGAAGCCCGTTGCTGCTGCAGCGATGAAGCCATCATGTCCTCATCAAACACGGATGCACTCGGCATTGCCCAGGAAAGAAACAGTTGGGATTAATTAAGAAAGGAAATGCCGCAATATTTGCAATTACTTCTGTCGCTTAAAGAAAGAAAGAAAGAACGCAAACCTTTCTACCAAATGAAGGCCAACAGTTTAAGAGGAGCATCGGGGAGAAGAAAGCACGTGAAATAGGAGGAAAGACTAGATGGGAACTGATTAAAGGAAGAGGCCTAAATCGTGAATGAGCCAGAGAGGGATGGTTATGGTTTAAATTTGCTGGGCTGGAACGGGGAGAGCCATTAAGGGACTACAAAAATCTCTAGGCTGAGTAAGTGTATGTGTGCGTACACAAAACATGCACATTAGGATGGTCATGTGCTATACTGTACATCTAAAGGGCTGTCAGAGGGCAGTCCTCTGAGCTATTTTATTCCCTAAGAACATAAGAAGAGCCTGCTGTTTCTGGCCAATGGCCTATCTAGTCCAGTGTCCTGTTCTCACAGTGGCCACCCAGATGCCTGGGGAAAACCTGCCAGCAGGGTCCGAGCACAAGAGCATTCGCTCCCTGCCCCTTGTGGTTTCCAGCAGCTGATCATCAGAAGCATTACTGCCTCCAGCTGTGGAGGCAGAGAACAGCCATCAAGGCTAGTAGCCATCAATTATCCCCCATGAATTTGTCTAATCCTCTTTTAAAGCCGTCACTGTGTCTTATGAGAGCAAATGCCATCATTTAGCAACACACTGCCTTCCCGGCAACCGAAAAGAGCTTCCTAAGAAACTTTTGCAATGCGCTCTACGTGGGGCTACCTTTGAAGGTGACCTGGAAACTACAACTAATCCAGAATGCCACAGCTAGACTGGTGACTGGGAGTGGCCACCAAGACCACATAACACCGGTCCTGAAAGACCTACATTGGCTCCCAGTATGTTTCTGAGCACAATTCAAAGTGTTGGTGTTGACCTTTAAAGCCCTAAACGGCCTCGGCCCAGTATACCTGAAGGAGCGTCTCCACCCCCATCGTTCTGCCCGGACACTGAGGTCCAGCACCAAGGGCCTTCTGGTGGTTCCCTCATTGCGAGAAGCAAAGCTACAGGGAACCAGGCAGAGGGCCCTCTTGGTAGTGGCGCCCGCCCTGTGGAACGCCCTCCCATCAGATGTCAAAGAGATAAACAACTACCTGACATTCAGAAGACATCTGAAGTTTTTAATGTGTGACATTTTAGAGTATTTTTGGTCTTTGCTGGAAGCCGCCCAGAGTGGCTGGGGAAACCCAGCCAGATGGGTGGGGTACAAATAAATTATTATTATTATTATTATTATTATTATTATTATTATTAAAATCAAAACAGAATCAAAAACCTGACCAAGCAACATGATAAGCAGGTGCCTAATTCTAGTCAGAGAATACCCTTTTCTGGCAAGGCAGCAACAATCAGAAAGGTAAACATCAGGTGTCAATGGGTGCTTCCAGACTGTCACTATTTTGAGGTGGGACACAAATGGCAAAAGCAGATTGTTACAGTTGATTGGGAGATCCTGCGCAATGAAGTTCAACAGTGTTGGCACTGGGTGTTTTCTTTCATATCTAAGATTGCTGAACAGATTTCTCTGCCCAATCCTTCTTTGACCCTTCTGGCCCTAGAAAGCGACATAAACCCCTCTGTAGCTCACAGAAATCTAGTGTTCATGATGCCAGCAGCCACCAGACTGGACGTCTGTTACTAGAAGTCCTTCTGCAGGAGGAATGGTTCACATGGAAGGGTGGTCTGGGGCATGAACGTAGCCAGGATTCCTGTTAGGAGGGGCAGAACCTCAGTTACCTATATATTTTTATTGTTTTTTATTGGTTGGGGGGCAGCTGCCCTTCCTTGCCCTCCCCCCCCAGCTGTGCCCGTGGTCTGAGGCAGGGCCGGATTTAGGTTTGATGAGGCCCTAAGCTACTGAAGGTAATAGGCCCTTTATATGTCCAGCTGTCCTTTGTCAACAACAAATTGCCACTGTTTTTTTGTGTTGAATATATGAAATCAATCAGTTGGCCTAAGACTCATACCCTTAGTCTATGCTGCCTGATCATCAGTCTACAAGCACTCTTTAATATTAGATTACAGGTACAACAGCTTGACCTACATTCAACTGTGCTGCACTGCAGTCTGCAGCTGCACGCTACATGTTGCCATGCAACCATGTAGGCACCCTATATATAGAAATCAGCAAACCTGTGATATTTTGGGGAGCAGGCTAGCAGGCGGGGCCCATTACTTACATCATAGGAGCTTACACAACACAAAACACTGTTGCTGTATGTAGGGGTTTTTTCCTTTAATTTTTGGGGGCCCCCCAAGAGAGTGGGGCCCTAAGCTATAGCTTGTTTAGCTTATACGTAAATCCGGCACTGGTCTGGGGTGAGGCCAACTCTGACAGCTTTGATATGGATTTCTCTTTTTTGAATGTATTAATAATGGGGGATATTTTAGCACCCCTCTGGAGTCTCATTCCACCTTATGATTGGGATATCTGCAGCCTGGTTGATCTTTATTGGAAGTCATAGAATCAAAGAATTGTAGAGTTGGAAGGGATCTCGAGGGTCAGTCTAGTCCAACCCCATGGAATGCTGGAATCCTGCCCTCAGCCATCCCTGGGTGGGCTCGAACCACCAACCTTCTGGCTAACAGCCAAACACACTGACCCATTGCACTTACAGGGACTATCTGCATTTCAAAATGTTGGTTTTATGCAGTAGCTTTGCAGCACTCTGCCTGTTGTTACTTACCGTATTTTTCGCTCCATAGGGCGCACTGGACCATAGGGCGCACCCAGTTTTTAGGGGGGGAAATAAAGAAAAATAATCTTATTTTCCCCCCAGCCCCAAAGAGCAGCGTACAGGATGTGCGCAACCTCTCCCTGCCGGAGGGGTTGCGCGTGGCTATGGCACAAGCCAAGGATCCATCCCGCTGACTGCTTTGGCTTCCTCTTTAGCCCCATGCAACCTCTCCCTCCCGGGAGAAGTTGCGCGGGGCTAAAGAAGCCATAGCCACGTGCAGCCTCTCTCTGCCGGAGGGGCTGCGTGCGGCTATCCCTGAAGCCTGGAGAGCGAGAGGGGTTGGTGTGCACCGACGCCTCTCGCTCTCCAGGCTTCAGCGAAAGCAACGCGAAGCCTTTGGAACACGGAGCGAGTGCTCCCTCTGCGCTTCGGAGGCTTAGTGTTGCTATCGCTGAAGCCAAGGAGCCTGCATTCGCTCAATAGGATGCACACACATTTCCCCTCAATTTTTGGAGGGGAAAAAGTGCGTCCTATAGAGCGAAAAATACAGTACCTGGTTTCTGTATACCTTATGCATCCAAAATTCAACAAAAAGTTATGGGAAGGGAACCCGCTTCCCCAAAAGGTCATATGCTTTTTTGTGATAAGGAAAGTGATGGAACTAAGGAAAGTGATGCAAAATGCACTGGAATATGTGGAATGACACTTGCTGCGATGCATCATCATCTAACCTTTCCACAAACAGATAAGAATGAATGCTCATTCAAGAGCAAATGTCGTTTAATCTCCCTGCACACAAATGAGGGTGAATGCTCAATGGACAGGTAATTTGAAAACACCCATTGTAAGGTGTCCCTTTAATTTGTTCCACACATCCCTTGAAGATTTAATTGATTCCAAGTTTCCATGTGCACCAGGTTAGATGACCAAAACAACAAACAAGACCTCTCATGCCCTGGCATTGTTTAAACCGCATTGCCACACATGAAATCTGGATATATGGAGATGTGCCTTATTAAATCCTTCATAAATCATTGCTGGCAGTCCTAAGATGATCTTTGAGACTGCAAATAAGCAGGGCACAAAGAGGAACAGGCTTTGTAATTTCTTTGATCACAGACATTAGAGCCACAAAAGAGGGGGGAGGGAGGAGTAAAGTAATGACATTCAAATGAATTTATTTGAAATGTGTTAGCATATGGCATTGGGCACTTAATGCATTATTTATTCCAACAATAAACTATGTATGCAATAAACTGAATACGTAAATGAAGGACTTTGAAAAACCATTTAATTCCCCCCCCCCCAATATAATCACTGGAATTTTCATTAAATGTTCTCTCTCTCTCTCTCTCTCTCTCTCTCTCTCTCTGTGTGTGTGTGTGTGTGTGTTCCATGAGTCCCATCTGGGGGGAGAATGCTGAAAAGAAAGCAAGTTTTTTAAAAGGAACAAACATGGTAACTGAAGTGGTGTAGCGGTTAGAGTGTTGGACTAAAACCTGGAGACCAGGGTTCAAATCTCCACTCTCACTGGGCAACCTCAGGCCAATCACTGTCTCTCAGCCTAACCTTCCTGACGGAGTTGTTGGGAGGATGAAATGAGGAAGGGGAACTCCAGGTACACCCCCTTGAATTCCTTGGAGGAATGCTGGGGTGGGAATTCAGCAAATAAATTTCTATATCTCTTACTTCCAAAGTCCAAACCAGCACTGAATAATCTCTAAGGCCACTTACGCAGTCATAGATAGAGGAATGAAATGTGAATGAATCCCCGCTCTCCTTTTAAAATGCACTTTGTCCCATTCCCATTCATTCATTATGATTAGGAGAAGGTATAGCATCCAGCAGTTCTAGATGCAATGCCAGGATGCAGAGACAAAGAAACAGCCTGGCCTCTAGAGTTCTCTGTGGTAGACAAATATAGTGGCTATGCCAGTACTGAGACAAAAGGCCCTACAGCCACAAAACCTGATAAAAATCTTAATGACAGTAGAATTGACTGACAAACCCATCAGCACACATAGCATCTAAAGGATGTTTCCCAGCTTGCTTAAGGGCATAGGACGTTTGCCAGCAAGCTTGCTCCAAAATCAGGCATGTTACGATGCATGTGCCATATCAATTGCCAGTGCTAGGGGTATTCAATATTTTATTTTATTTTATTATTTTATTATTTGATTTGATTTGATCCTGTGAGAACAGGATGCTGTACTGGGTCTAGCAGGCTTCTCTTATGTTCTTTATATCCCATTCATATGGAAACATTACATTTCTTTCAGCATTCATTTGTGTAAAATTAATTAATTTAGATACATTCGTTTTCTTGCTTTCTCACCGTGGCGGCAAAGCTGAATTTATTTCTCCAGAATACCCACAAAGCTTACAACATTTCAGGATAAAGTAGCAGCTACCAAAAATAATAATAATATGGCCTTGACTGCAGGTTATTTCCCGCTCAAATATGCAGGTGCTATACTGTGCATGAGGCATTCTGGGGGAACAAAATGGCAGCCACTTAGAGCGGCTGGCCATGTGTTGGTACCAGGCAGACCTCACTTGGGTGAGCATTCCACAGATAGGAAGCCACAACCAAAAAGGCCCTCTCCCTTACTGCCATCCCTGAGAAGGGTTGTACATGTCTCTGCAAAAGTGTCTGGACAGGTTGATGTGAGGAGAGGTGCCCTGAAAGATACTGGGGTCCTGAGCCACAAAGGGATTTCCAGGTAAAACCCAGCACTTTGAATTGGGTCCAGAAACATACAGGCAGTGACTGCAGCTATGTCATGCCAAGTTATGATGTTATGTTGTTGTTATGTTATGTTAATACAATTAATTACCTGCCCTTCATCCAAAGTCTGGGGGTGGGTTACAACAATTAAAACACAATATTGAAAACTCTTTTAAACAACAATTTAAATTACAGAAAGGAGATAAATCCTAAAAAAAATGCATCTCAGGTATCAAAAGCCAGGGTAAACAGGTGCCTCATCAGCATTCGCTGAAACCTGTACAGTGAAAATACCAGAGGCACCAATATGAAGAGGGAGATGCACAACTTAGAAGCTGCTGCATAGGAGCCCCCCAAATGAGCATTTGGTAACTTCATCTTTAAATGCAAACAAAATCAAATTTCTCTCCCTTCCTCCGTCCCTAATGATCCATGTGCTTGGCCAAAGCCCAACGAGAGCCAGAGAATTGAATACATCTTCTCCCACCCTTGCTTGCGAATCTTGCTCCTTTATTTTGCAAAGGTTCTGCAGCTTCAACAGCATAATAAATCAAACCCCTCCGAATAGATAGAGCAGGGTGATCTATAGGGTTTGGGCAATGCATTTGTCTTCCTGAGCTGATACATGTTGAGCACCCTGGTTTTCTTCTTGTTGTTGTTTTCGTTTCAATTATGCATATGCAACCGTCGGAAGCAAGCAACTGTTCCTCGAGTCATTACAAATGTCGTTCTGATCATATTCTTCTCACCAAGCAAATTCATAATGTCAAGCCCCTCGCAGAGCGATGTTGTTGATTGTGCACAGCATCCTGATATGGGGAAAAAAATTCACCCCAAGTCATTAGCAATTAGTTAATTAATCCCAACATAAATTATTAGAACAAAGTCACTGGGCACTGCTCAGCCAGAAGCCATGTGGAAGGGCGGGGGCTGGGAGAGGCTTCTTTTCCAACTGCCCCCAAACAAGAAACCCATCAAGCAGAAGAAAAGACTGAAGTGGGAATGGAAATGGAAATTTTCAAGAAAGCAAGCATGTTGCTAAAGCACGGATGAGCTAAATGGAACCCAAGGGTTGCATGAGGTCCTCCCTACTTTCCAGTTTGCCACAGTTGCCTGGGGGGGTTAGTATGTTGCAGTCGTCCTCACAACAATAACATTTTCACTAAGGGAGATGAAACTAACCCACTTGAAGAGACGGAAGAAGAATCAACGTAACCACAGATGCATTGAAATACCTGAGAAGGCTTCCAGCAGGGATGCAAGGAGGCAGCAATTTCTTATCCTGTCCTGTGTTCATCGCAATCCACGCTATTTTCTTTCTGCTACAATTCTGCTTCTGCTAAAACCCACACTGTTGGTGTGCTGCGGACTATGTAATTAATTACACAATTAATTTCAACAGAAGGGAAACATCAAAAACAATGCAGAAAACAATTATTTACACAACGTTTGCAGGCTAGAACACAACGAAAGTATTGCTCCTATTTTGCTTGCATGTTTTCCAGGATTTTCTGCTCCCATTTCCGATTCTGAAAGAATTCTCCAACATCCCTAGCATCCAGTATATAGTTTGGAAGAAACCTGAGGCCTGGGCTTTAAATGTATTGTCATGCTCTCCCGACTACCCTGAGTAGTGAGAAGTTTCAGGAGTCAGGGTACTAACCCAGGTGCCATTTCCTTTGGAAGGAGGGTCCACTCAAGAGACTAAACGCATTTCTGTAACATTTTGGTTTATTTACAGGTATGCAGGTTGAGCACAGAAGAAGGCACAGCTTAGCTGCCAAATCCAGTGCCTCAAATCAGATCACCAAAGATACAGCACCACATAAACACTGTCCAGCCTATCTCACAGGGTTGTTTTAAGGAAAGAATAGGAGAAGAACCATGCATACATCCTTGGAGGAATGCCTCCTTTTGGAGGGGAAAAAAATGGGTTAGAAATGTGGTACATAATTTTTGGTTATTCCATTGAGTCTTTCTTCATGCGTTTTTATTGCCTTTAAAAGGAAATGCACCAAGTTCTTTACTGAGATAAATGAGAGAGCCCTAACTCTGACCTGCCTCAGCACCTTGAGGACCAGATGTCATCCTGCAGGTATGTGGCTGTACATGTCTATTAAATGCCTTGCCAAAAAAAGAGGGGGGGAATACACATGGCTTTGGGGAGCTGCTGCACAATAAATGCTAAACTGGCCATTATTTGCTCTATAGGTGTT